ATTCCCTTCCAAACAAAAATTATGTCTCTATTTTGAATATATACTTTATTAAGATTGTAATCCTCTTCTCTCTGAAGGATTCTTTTCTTTTGCTAACTTGTGATTTCCTCACTGTCTTCTCACCAGCTATAGTTACTCCAGTTCTTTGCAGTTCTGTGTATTAAAGTTTAAACCTTGTTCATCTCATACAAAAAAGTACTATAATTGCTGCATTGGAACTTCTTGTATCAGGAATGCAAGTAAGGTTTGGTTTTCAAGGCTCTTCTAGAATGTAATAATAATAGTCCATCCATTGTGCCAAGAGTTCTTTATCTTCCTCATGTATTCCAGAACTGTAACCCTACTGAAGTTGTGTGAGTATTACGGCATACTGGATTAGTTTGTTGGCTTGTCTGAGAGTGTACTGTGTGGAAAAGCAGTATGTGACCTTCAGTATTCCCTCAGGAGGCACATACACAAAGAAGTGAAAGTTTTAATTTAATATCTGATATGCTTTTGTTCAGCTCTTTAACTCTTATGACATTCTTCAATTGTTATTCTGTGTGACAAATGGTAGGTAATGTATTTCTTGCAGGGATTTGATGGGGAACATTTTGTATTCAAACCTCAGCAGTACTTCGATATTTTCAGTATAATATTCCTATCCTTTGTGTTCAAAGCACTAATATTCTGACCAGTGTCACAAAAACACTCCCAGAATGACAATAGATTATGTTGTGTAATTTAATTAATGAAATTTTTACTGGAATTCATTTAGCCCGAAGTTTAAATTGATGTACTGAAGGCCAATGCAAGTCATATAACCTATAAAATACGTTTATTTCTGATAAGCTCTAGTTTTTCCTGGCATGAGTAAAGAGGTTTAAATATATCACTTCAAAATCTGAGTGCAGAAAAGAAAGGTCCAACTTTATTTAATTCCTGATATTTAGCAAATTACATTCCAGCAGTCTCATCTCACTACAGTAATCTCTTACAGCAATATTGGTGCAGGATATTACTAGTGCCACATTCTTGAGCAGGTCATGTTTTTGTTAACCAAAACTCCAACACAGTGCTCTGCTATGCTACCCACAGTCTGTCTGCCTGTACGAAGCCTCTGCCCTTATAAAAATCATCCTGTAGCATGCCCCTCATCGAAACGGATGGATCCTGGTGTCTCCTTTCTGTTCACAGGTCAGTTGCCCACTTGGTTGCAAGGGGTACTTCTCCGAAACGGCCCAGGGATGCACACGATAGGGGACACGAAGTATAACCACTGGTTTGACGGCTTGGCTCTGCTGCATAGCTTTACATTTAAAAATGGTAAGTTGCTGCACATCAGATTGAAAAAGCACGCAGCGACCCAAATCTTGGTGCCTCACGGTGCTAATTCTGTTTGGAGTTAGGTTAGTGTTAGAGCGTGGCAGGTGTCTTCTGCAGAGCGCCCTGTGTGCTGAGGTGGTACTGGCTCTGGGAAAGTCTTTCCAAACACCCCCACACCTCACTGCCCGCAGCAGCAGGAGCATCTCTGCTCGGCCGTGACCAGAGACAGGTTATGTCGTCCTCTTTCTGGGGCGCCAGTACCGTCCGCACTGCGGGACAGCCTGCGGCCAGCGCTGGGCAGGTCCCTGCGGGGCAGCCTTGGCTTCCACCCGCAGCAAGAAAAACGCTGTTGTTTCCAAGTGGATCAACCAAACGTACTGTAATATCCGGAGGTTTTTCTGTTGTGGATGAACAGCCTAGTTTCAGGGAAGACGAATGTTCCCCTTTTGGGATTTGGTTGCAGCTGTAGCAGCTGCCAGGAGAGAAACTGGGCCACTGTGTCACTTCACATGCCAAACCTCACTCATGCATGCTTGACACCCCTACGCGCGGTCCTCCTGCTTGTCGTCCTGGCAGAGGGAAAACACGCAGCTCCTCTATCCAAAACCATTTCCTTTTCTCAGTTAAAGCATTTTTTGTCTGTTCAGCTGTTTTACAGTGTGAGGCAGGATGCTTACACCTGGATTCTTGCTGCAAAAAGCATGTATCTGTAAAAGAACTGGGGTTCATCCTGCCATCCTCCATTCCTGGTGCTCACTTTTTAGTTTCTCTTGCTGTGACTGGAGGCATTTAAGTGCAACTGCAGGATCTCCTTGCCTGTCCAGCTCTCCTTCCTTAACAAAATGACCTACACAGAAATGACCGGTGTTTTTTGAATTGCTGGTATATTTTACATACCTAAAGCCGAGCTCAGTTAGTTCAAGAATAGTGATCCATTACATTGGTTAGGACAGACATTGATTCCCCAAGCAATTTGTTACTCTCATAACTACATTTGCCAATACAGGTGATTTATCACCACTCACACCCATATGATGCATATTTCACAATTGTTTTACACAGATTGCTTTGGTTTACCGGGTGATTTATCCCAATCCCTCCTTTCCTCTCCCCAGTCCCCCAGTGCTGTCCATGTGTGTTGGGAATCACGGAAGCTAGACAAATTAGTACCAGTCTCAGCAGCCACAAGGACAGTCCTGGGTGCCTTAGAGAGCTGATAAGGAGTTCCCAAAGAGGGATTTAGGGGCACTGTTGGTTTCATTGCAAACTTGTCTTAGCTAAAGGACATCTGCTTGAGAAACTCCTTCTCTGACTTTGCCTGTGCCAATTGTCTGAAGAACTCGGTATGAAATGTGATTCAATCCTATTTGGACTTTGTCAGGTGAAGTTTACTACAGAAGTAAGTATCTCCGAAGTGACACGTACAACTGCAATGTAGAAGCAAACCGAATCGTGGTGTCTGAGTTTGGAACTATGGCCTATCCAGATCCATGCAAAAACATATTTTCCAAGTAAGCGATGTTTTTTTTCCCCCAAGATTCTTCTGTCCACTTCTCTCTCCAGCACAGATGTCTTTCTGTTTACCCTTGACACATATTTACAAATACAAAATTTGTTTTGTAGATTTAGAATTGCCAAACATTGAAAAGGCCAAGAGGTATGTCCAGCACTGTACTCACTATGGGTTGTTCTGAAGCAAATATTTTACATTCATTTTATCGGCAGTATTGGATGGTTTATTCACTACTACAAGTAGATTTTGTGGTAATTTTGAAAAAACAAATATTTTCTTTTTTCAAGTGTTTGGCAGAAGTTTATAAAAATGATACTCTGTGTCCTGCTCTGGATTAAAGACCCCTTTTACAAAAGAAAAAGTGATGAAAAATTTCCATTGTCTCCTGGGTCACGTGCAGTGTGTTGAAGGCCTGCACCCACAGGCCTGAGCTAACCTAATGTTCACAGCCAGACCCGCTTGGGATCACGGCAATAGCTGCTCTCCTACCGTTAGAAGGGTTGATAGGCTGTATGTGAGCGGCAGGGTGTAAGTCGTTGTGTTATCACCTGTCTTGTAAACTTGGCTGTGGATGCTCTGTGACAAATATAAGTAGCTTACCCATCTCTTCTTCCTATCTGATCTACCTCTGATGACCTTGAATTTGAGGTTTGCTAAGAGCACATGCATGGCTAGTTATTGCAAAAAAGTTGATATGTTGTAAGTCGTTGCTCTGAGATAAGACGCTTTCCTTCCCTCTTCCAGCATGTAGGATAACACTGGCATTTTGAGTTCAAAAGGAGTATAAGCAAATTTGTCTTGGCTTCAAGAGAATATGATAAAATCCTACACTAATAAGGAAAACTGTCAAGCCCACATGTTAAGTTTTATCTTTGAAACCGTAATTGTGGTATGTAGTTGTGCCACATGGATACGAATCCCTGTGATTCATATACAGGGAGTATGTGAATCCATCTATTTTATGAAGGCATACCCTGAAAAACCTACTGGTTTTGAGTAGAAACTCTTAGGACAAATTCTCTCAAGGTGTGCAGAGGAGAGCCCATCCTGATATTCCAGTGCGTATGCTACAGCCAACGGCTGGACGGGTCCTGGATGCCCATTTGCATGTGGAAGAACAGTTGCGTGCGTGTCTTCCACCCTCGTCCAGGCCAGCAGCCCATCTCCTCTGCTTGTCTGCCCTTTCCATGGAGGCAGGGTAGGGCCAGAAGAGGCTCGGCAGGGAGGAGACAGCCCCAGCTCCTCCGTGCCCTGCTGCTGTGCACGTCCCACGCCGCTCGGGCGACTTCGGCTTTGCACGGGGTGACAGCGGGTACGGCTTCTGCTGCTCTAACGAACCGATTCCAAACTTCCCTCTGTACAGGGCATTCTCATACTTGTCTCACACCATTCCTGAATTCACAGACAACTGCCTCATCAACATTATGAAAACTGGGGATGATTTTTACGCTACCAGTGAGACTAACTTCATCAGGAAAATTAACCCGCAGACTCTGGAGACGTTAGAGAAGGTATACGGTCTGTCGTTCTGGTTCCTGATACGCCAATGAACAAAGTTTCAGGCTGATTCATAAGGATCCTTTAGCATGTACAGGACACAAAACTGAAAAGATACTTTTCTCCTCCTACTCTTCCCTTACTTTTGAAGTCGTGATAAAGTGAAATAGTGAAAATACCAGATCTTTTAAGAACTAGTAAGTTCAAAATTAAATCCGAGGTAGTTTGGGAAAAGCTGGACTTGGAGCAATTTCACTTGTACATAATCTATCAAGGCTGCAGGAATAATACCACTTATCATGCTTATGACATTATTATTTTGGATTCTTTCCATTATTATGCATCTGTAGTTATCAGGTGATTTACATAATTAACAATTCAGTAGGTCAGTTACATGACTGCTTTCCAAGTACCTTATGCAACATATTACTTAATTATTAAAATGAAATCTTAACATACTGAAACATAGAGTTTTTTCTAGCATGCAGTACAGTTTGAGGACAATTTCCAAGCTTTAAATCAAGTAGAAATCTTTTTGCTCCAAAAGATTGCCAGACTCACAGCCCTGTTAAATAAACTGCTTTTGGGAAGAAATGGGCATTTGCAGAGTAACTTTTTTAGCCAATCCTCCCGTTGTGTTACGTGGCTGCAAGAGAGGGGTGAACGTAATTTAGATCTGTAACTTGTTTTAGTCATGAATTATGAAATCATTTGAATACCGACCTGAGTCATTTGGCTTGTTTAAATTTCAAGGCCTTTTGAAAACGGGGTATCGATAAAAGGCTGCCAGTGCTAAAAAACTGATAGATCTGTGGTGTTAGCTGAGATCAATTTTATTTCTCTCACACCCCTCTAAAATCTCCTATTGTGTCATTTTCCAGGTTGACTACAGCAAATATGTAGCTGTGAATGTGGCAACTTCTCACCCGCACTATGACAGTGCTGGAAATATTCTCAACATGGGTACTTCGATAGTTGATAAAGGGAAGACAAAATACATTCTATTTAAGATTCCTCCCTCTGTGCCAGGTAAGATATGTCTTCTGCCAGTATTTTCTAGAAACTTGTTCGCAGTTTCTTTTCTCCAGAGGTTAAGGGATGGTGATAAAGCTCTTCTAGAAACTGGTGGTGTTCCTTTTCCTAATTTTAACTTATTGTGAACTTAGTGTTAACTGCGTAGCCTGTCTGGCCATGTGCTATTACAAAGATTCATCTTAAGTACTGTGTAAACCGGGTATTTTGGTATGAATCACCTTGCTTTTAGAGGAATTCTACTTTGAATATTACTAGAGGGAACAAACTCTTTTAGAAGAATTTCCATTCCCTGTGTTGTGATGTGTAAAGGGAGGGTGAATAGAAACAATTTTATCTCTAGAGTAGTGCATATGAGAGGAAACCTGTTCTTTCCTACTTCATACAAAGGAGAAATCCAAGCACAAGATTGAATTGGAATTTATTATAAATGGTTGTGGGTTGTTTTGTTTTTTTCAATTATGTTCAGAAAAAGAAAAGAAGAAATCCTGTTTTAAACATCTGGAAGTGGTATGCTCCATCCCTTCTCGCTCTCTGCTCCACCCAAGCTACTACCATAGCTTTGGAGTCACAGAAAATTACATCATCTTCGTAGAGCAGCCATTCAAACTGGATATTGTCAAAATGGCAACGGCTTACATGCGAGGTGTGAACTGGGCTTCCTGCCTTGCCTATCACAAGGAAGATAAGGTATTTTTCCTAATGCTGAGCAGTGGAGTCAGCCAGGCCAGTGACCTCCTCCACACTCTTCTGTCTTTTATCTGGTTCATTAATTTCAGTAACTCCTCTCTTTTTTTTTAACCCTTGATTTTCATGTTGCACATCTTTCTTAGAAGTATTTTTTTAACTACTATCTCCCATCTCTAGAAATTTCACAGATTAATATCTGGTACTGAAGTGCTTGAGGAAGAAGATAGTTTGGCATTGTTGGAAATAGAGTGTGCTAGCAGAGGAATTCAAAACTGCCCTAGCATCCCAGACACATACAGTTGCTTCTGGTCCAAATGAAATACTGCATGTTGTGGACGAGATCTGATCTAGATCCATTGCATTCCACCAGCCCGACTGGTGGAAAAGGCTGCATCCAGCAAAAAGAGACTTTCACTGTGGCAGCTGAGCAAAAAAAAACCTGTTTTCTGAGGACCTTATTTCCACATATTCTGGCCACCAGTAAGTAGGGCATGCTGGGGTAGGGGGCACCAGCACAGAGCACCGGAGAGACTCTGGACTAAGGGAGGTTTATTTAACTTAAAAATAGAGCAGGGGACTTTCCAGGTTTTACTGGAAAACTTCAATCCTCAGCCTAGCCTAAACAGTAATTTGCAACAGTAAAATGAGCTTAAGGCATTTCCACACTCATTTTACTCCTGTATTTTTTGGTCCTCAGGTTGGAACCTCTTGTCTCCCAGCAGCAAATCCTGAGATCTTAATATGGTTCAGTAGAAACAGGCAATACATTAGACTGTTGATGGCTACCGTTAGAAAACAGTTTCCTAAAAATCTATTTGCTGATCATTAAGGGTTTTAAATAATGTTTCCTATCTTTCAGACTTGGTTTCACTTTGTAGACAAGAAGACTAAAAAAGAAGTATCCACCAAGTTTTATACTGATGCTATGGTGCTTTTTCACCATATAAATGCTTATGAAGAGGATGGCCACATCGTTTTTGATATTATTGCCTACACGGACAATAGCTTGTATGATATGTTCTATTTAAAAAAACTGAATAAAGACTTTGAAGAGAACAACAAACTTACCTCCATACCGACCAGCAAACGATTTGTTGTTCCCCTGCAGTATGACAAGGTAGGGAGGAAATGGCTCTGTAATCTGTTCTTTAATTGTTAATTTGAAATACATCAGTGTGAACAATAGGTGACTTATTAGTTGCTAGCTCCTATGTGCAAATTTCTGATTTTTTATAAATAACATATACACAGAGTGTGCAGGACTTTTTTTTTCTGTGTGTATTGGGAGAAACAGCAATTTTCAGCTGGACATACAGTTACATGGATCTAGGTTCTGATACCATCCACTGGGGAGAACAGGGCTATTGAGCACATGTAATTTCCCTCCCAGGGAGATTATTTGTAAAATGCAATCAAACATGAGCAGATATATCAACTGGGCTGGTGACCAGAAGGGCAGGTATGAGGTCTTGCACAATCTGTTTCTTTCGCTTTTCTGGAAATCTAGATAAAGTACATGAACACTCCCAACTGTTGCAATGGTTTCATTAAAATCGGAAGATTTCCTTTAAGTGTGAGATTTACTAGGAAGAGGAAAGATTTTATCTTTCAGTTTCATTTAAAACATCATTTCACATCATTGTTTGCAGCAAAAATTTTGTACTGCCCAGAAACCTGGGCAAGTTTCTGCCTGGATACACTTGGATTGGATAATACTTTTTCTCTCTACACCCTAGAATCTTGCTGCTTTGTTTGTGTCTCAGAAACAGTAATGCAGCAGTGACAAAGGATGTGTTGGATCACACCCGCTGTCTGAACTTCCCCACAATCTGTGCAATAGTGTATTAAAAATAAGAATGCATTACCTATTTTTGCACTTGATTTATAGAAGGTGCTAGAACACCTAACCTTGCTGACTTTTAGTGGGAATTTGATACCTAATTCCTTGAAACCCATCATCATTAATTAAATTCACAGACTATGTAATCCATTTATTGGGCTTCTGGAACATAGCCATGTCTATCTAAACCTTTCTAAAGGCTCAGTGTGATTCACAGTGATTATGATATATTAAAATCCTCTGAATAGAACAAGATTTCTGATGAAATGGTCAGTATCTAAAGTTGCAAGATAAATGCCCTAAGAAGGAACTTCTTGAAGCTAAATTATTCGTTTAATTGCAAAATTGTCTATATTCATATCAAACCTGATGAAAGACTAAAACTAGAAGCACATTCTTAGAGGCACCTTACTTTTTCAGCATATGTCTCTTTCAGGATGCCGAAGTAGGTTCCAACTTAGTCACGCTTCCGTCTGCTGCAATGGCTGTGAAAGAGAAGGACGGCAGCATCTACTGCCAGCCTGAAATACTGTGCGAAGGTGAGACACACCCGTTACAGATCTCAAACACATTCTCTTACACACACATAGGTCATTCTAATAGTGCCTGATAGCTGTTCATGTATGTAGGCTCTTCATAAAGCTCAGAGAAACAAAACTTTCAATTCATATGGTCACTGTAGCTGATGACAATATGTTTCTTGTCTTTACTTCCCTCCTCTGGGTCTCTCCACTAATACGTGACCCTGGGGCTCTCAGGTATGTATTTATCAGGAGTGAAACCCTTCAGATGTCTGATGTTGCATCAGTTTTATATTAATATAGGATCCCAAGTCTCATCTTAGAACTATTACTAGGGCTTGCAAATCTACCTGTTACAAGAATAGTTTTAGTTAAATGGGTCTGTTATAAACAGTAACTTCAGTTATTGCTGTATTTTATGAAGGTTGCCTTTGAAAGTGGATTTTTGAAATTTTTTCAGGGGATAATGACAGGAATATGTAAAGAATATATCTTTACCTAAGCTGAAAGTAATTTCTTAGAATGTATCTCAGATGTTCACATCTCATGCATTTATGAAGAAAGAAAACAAACCCAACAAAAACCCCACAACCCTTGTAAGTTCCAGTATAATGAATCCCTAAGAATGAAAAACTGTCATTTTTGAACTAACATCCGTGGGCTAATTACATTGTGTTAATATCCATCTTCAGCTTTTTAGAAATTCAGACAGACAAAATGTGTGCAACACCTGTTTTAAATACCGTCAAGGTGTTGTCACAGGGCAAAACTTCCTGAAGATTGGCATATGTAAATGTACACTGGAGTAAGTTTTCTGCTCTTGTTCCTAAGTCTCGAACTTCATTTTACCCAGGGATAGAACTGCCTCGCATCAACTACGACTACAATGGCAAGAAGTACAAGTACGTCTTTGCAGCAGAGGTCCAGTGGAGTCCAGTCCCTACGAAGGTATAATTAACATTTACAAAGTCAGAAACTGTATTTATAGAACACAAATCAAATTTAGGCAGTTATAAGTAGACCATGCTTTACTGGTTTCCCCAAAATATAGCCTAGCCTGCATTCATACATGCAGATTCAAAGTGTGTAGTTCTGAGGCCAGAAACTGAACTCTTTTTTCCCAACATCATGTTAAAGCTTCTAAATGACGACGCTGCAGTTGGGAACTACGTTCATAAACTTCAGCATGTGGAAGCAGGGAGATGAACAGTTGGACATACACGTTAGCTTACTTGTGTGACTGAAACAACTGCACTGGGCCAAACGATGGAAACAATACATCTTCACCGTACTAGTCAGAAATCTGGAACATTATTATCAGCTCTGAAAAACATGTGGCTCCACTGGCAGCAGAACAAATCCTTTCTTGCAGATGTGACTTGAGATTGGATTCTCGAGTGTTCAATAGTGTATGTGTTTCTGTCAAAACTTTTCCTTTGGTGGGTCATTCACATGCAAAGAAACACAAAAAGCCTAAATTCTTATAAGGGTAAGCTCATGTTGTACTATTTCCCTCATAAAGTATTCATAAACTCCAGCTTTATATTCCCACAAAGTCTCTTGAACACAATACTTACTGAGACCCTCCCTTTCTGCTAAACTGGGCTGAACTTCCGTAATGTGCCAAGAGCTACATAGAAGGGAGCAGGAAAAAGAAGTACTAGACATATACAGCTGTAGTATATTTTTCCCTTTAGGAAACCTAACTGAAACAAGTTATTGCAACAGTATCTAATCAGCTAAAAATATTAAAACAGTATCTAATTATTCAGAAAGCTTCTTTTGCTAGCTGCTTCTGTATTAGAAGGTAGCAAATGCTTCGTTACTGTGTGCGTGATGCCAGCCTTTTCAGGAGGCAGGCTAGAGTACAAATAGATTAAAATGTACAAAAAGCATTAGGAGTTGAAGGTAAGGGTATTGTACAGACACACTCTTTATACTTCTTGTTCTGTGACTATAAGGCAGAGCAAATTGAGTTCACTGTTGGTTCTTGTGTTTAATTACCACAACCGATTACAAAATAAAGCTGGATTTAGGCATGATGCAAGAAAATTTATTGCAGCACATCTGACAGTAGCTCAAACAAATCTGCAAGTCTGTGATTTCCAGCACAGATAATCCCTGCCTGACAAATATAATAAAAAATGCTGTTAGAAGACTTTTTTTTCACATCAGTTGCTCTTTAATGAATGCAGGCACAACAACAACCATGCATTGTCCTGAGGTAAAGTCTGTCAGCGAAACTGCTGTCACCTTGGTTAGATGGGAGATTTCTTCCAAATTCTTCCTCCAGCATTTCAATGCTTTCATTTTTGTGTAAACCTAGTTTTTGACTAAAGGGGAAAACTGCACCTGTATGGGTAGAGAAAAGGCCTTAATAGAATTGAACTGAAAATGCCATGTGTCCCCAGTGGCGACTGGTTTGGTCAGGGACTTGAGCCATTAAAGAGATGAAGATCTGCGCTCCGCTCAGTAAACACCAGTGTCTGTGTGGAATTCTTGCTCCATTGCTTTAATCTTTACACATCCCTGTTAATAGCCTTTGTTCTGGCATATATACCCTACTTAACAATAGAGCGCCTTGAGAAATATTGAGGTCACAATAAAAGGAAAATAATTCACAGGCTTAGAAAACGGAAGGTTTAAATGCTGTTTCCTGCTTTGCTGCACAACCACAGTGATTTAGCGCAAATCACTTACATGTTCTGGGCCTCAGACTCCTCCGCTGTATAGTGAGGGCATTATTTATAGTGAGGTTCTTGCATGATCTGTTAGTATTTGTAAAATACTTAAAGCCTGTAAATGAAGGGTGCCATTGTAATGAAATTAGAAGAACATTTTGTGATTATGCAGCTGCTACATGGGACTCCAAAGTTTAACGTTTTCCAGGTGTTTCCTTTTTGTGATGACACATGCCTTGTTGCTCCTTAACTCGTAGCATTGTTCCCCACGCCAGCAGTCTGTTCATGTTGTACCTTTGGAATAAACCACTGTCTGGGTCACTGACATTTCCCTTTTCTGGTCCCAACTATTTAGACTGTAAAATTTAATATCCAGACAAAGGAAATGCTCCAGTGGAGAGAGGACCACTGCTGGCCATCTGAGCCCATTTTCGTTCCCAGCCCTGATGCAAGAGAAGAGGATGATGGTAAAATAATGACAACATTCAGACAGCTGGGGTTACATGAGTTTTGCATTAAAGCTTACAAGTTTCATTGTTCTTAGTCAAGAAAGCTGGGTTGATGTTTCCACTGTGAGATTAAAATGAGCACCAGCCATTTACTTCTGCAGACAAGAAACCAAAGGAACAGTAGATGAGAATCAGCTTGTGTAATGTCCCAAGGCAGCCATAAACAATAAACCCAGTGCTTAGGACTTTCTAGAGCTCCATTGAAGCTGGATTTATCAATAGATTGGAGCAGCTGAAGCTGCGGGAAGTCAGTGCTCTTACAGATGAGATGAGAACATGAAGTGGCACTGCAGGTACCCCTGTAAACTCGATCTAGTTCTGTTCTCAGGTGACTCCTTGCAAAGACAAAAGGCAAATAGCTGAAATGATGAGTCCCAAAACTGCCCGGCACACAATTCAGTGTTGGTTTGCTTTTTTCCTTCTCAATGAACTACAGGCAGACCAGAAAAAAGCACAGAAGAGAAGCATTCAGTAGTTCTTCAGCACTCTCAGTAGCCTTCTTGATCTAGTAAATTTGTATCTTAAAATTGTTAGGAAAGAAGAATTGTTTCCTGACAGTGTTCTCTTTTTCTGCTTGGTGTAACTGGTATGTGCTTCTAATTCTTCATTTGTATGTCACAGGCGTTGTTCTTACTTGTGTGGTGAAGTCTGACCCAAAGGAAGCACCCTTCCTACTTGTCTTGGATGCTAAAACATTCAAAGAACTGGGCCGAGCCACAGTAGATGTAGAAATGCATCTGGACCTGCATGGAATGTTTATACCAGAGAAGGATTTGAAGACACAGACTGAGTAAAATGCTACTTACCCTATTACACAGAACGAGACTATCTTCTACTCAATGCGGGATAACGTAATTCAAGAACAACCTTATGGCAAGAAATGACTAGATGTAACCTCTTTGATAGCTGTATGTAATGTCTTGTAAGAGAGAGCAATAACTTCTGTTACAGATAATGCTATGCACAACTGGTACGTAACTATTCCTCAAGAATGATCGGTAGTAAGTGCTAAAGTTGTACACAACTCGTGAGGCAGGGAATAGGAGACAAAGGTAACAAGAAATGTTTTATTTGAGTAGAATATAGCTTTCTGAGCAAACAAAGTACTGTATTTATAGGGTGATGCATGCCATGACTCACATTAGTCTGCAGGTCAAGTAACTTTCATGGACTGTTTCAAGACTGCAGCTCAGGATGAAAGTTGTCTCCTGCCAGAAAACCTCACGTTAAACTCTCTGCTGTGATACTAATAATTCATGGCAATGCATTTTCTTGGTGCTTGATTTCTTAAACTCCACCATAACCAAAGTATTACACTGAGGTGCTACAACTTTCTAATTTAGAACTTAAAAATGCTTTGCTAATAATTTCATGGCGTATTTTTCCCCTTTATGTCGACAAAAACAAGTAACTTGAAATAGAATATAGGGTTTTATGTAGTATTCAATTATACGTTAGTGCTTTGTATTTAAATCAGTTTTCCCTGAGAACAGCTGACATGGCATTTCATGCAATTAGATGATTTCTCTGTGTACAAGATAAACAGAAACATAGTATTCAGTGATATTGCTAATAGTGTCTGTTAGTAACAGTATGTATATGAAGGAGAGCAGTATATTTCCAGCAGAACTCATACACACATGCACAGCAAATTGTTTAGGTGAAAGTGTGAAAGACCTGATCTAGACCTCACCGGAACTCCACAGCAGCTGTGCAGCTATTGTTGCTATAGCTGAGCATTTGCTCTGTTATCTGCTTAGGAGCATCCACGTCCTGCCATAGGTTGATCATTGCCTGAACAGATGCTTCCTAATGAAAGTACAGCGCTCTCATTCACAGACACAGTCAAAAAGCACATTTCAACACAGAGTTCACACGCCAAGTACACCGTAGCTGTGTTTTGTTTAGGAAAAACCATTCCATTAGGAACAGCATTTCCTAATCCCCTGAGTTTTTTGATTCGGGGCATTGATTTTTCCTTAAATGAGAGGGTTTTTCCTTTGAATTGTATTTTCCTGTTGTAGATGCTGTTGACTGATGGACAAAACTAGGTATCCATCCATCCCTTTTAGGTGTTGATCTGGTCTGTACGTATCACCACGCTACTCAGGTATCTCTCACTTTGATATACACACGCTCACAGTGCCTCTGCTGCTCACTGTGTTTTACACGTAGGAAACAGAATGGAATCATTGTCATTTAGTGTTTTACAGGTAGGAAACAGAATGGAATCATTGTCGTCTACTGTCTCCCCATCACAGGAGAAGCCGGTGACTTGTTCGTGATTACGTAAGAGGTTTACGACAGAGCAGGAATTGAACCAGCACCATCCACAGTTCATTTGCTCTGTAACGACTATACCTCCCTTTCTCTGCATATGTCTTTGTAGGTTGTAAGTATAAAGAATATACAGGCTATTTTTAATGTAAAAGAAAAAGTCACTGTGGTCAGTTCTAGAGTTAAAATACATGGTTTTGGGCATTCAACTGTTTATATATTCCGTAAAATGGAAATAAACACTTCAATAAGGTGTGTCTGCAGAAATAATAGTCATCTTCAGTGTTTTCAAGGCATAATACCACTACTATTTAAGAGAAGACTGACTTCTGGTGCTGGCAAAAGACACCAGCTGTGTCTTTTAATCTGAAAGAGGTTGGATTTCACAAGTCTCCACATATATTTCTGGAATTATAAAGTGGTAATGAATCACAAGTCTAACCGTTATTATAAATCTCCTTTTACGTGTTTGTCTCCCAGATTTCTCTGTAGAACTTGTAGTGCTGTGTTTTCAGAGGATCATGAGTTTGGATACTGGGGTTACTTGATTTCTGAGGAGCTCATTCTCACTGGCAGAGGTAACGTGGTAGGGGAATATTCATCACAAAAACAATCTGCAGTCTAAGGAAGCAAATGTGTTATGTTGGTGTAGAAACACTGCGGAAGATAAATGAGAAGAACTTTTCTTGGGTGTGATTTTTTAAGCAAAGTATGCCAAATTCACCTGGTCAATATTACACAGGTTTTGATTAGCATCAAGTCTGTAGTCAACCTGAAGAGAAACACAGTGATGCAAATCTGGATTTCCCAACCCCAGTATCCTGCGGCAGAGACAATGTGGGTAAAACCATACGGCTAATCACGGATTTGTTCAGGAATGTTTTCAGCAGGTGCAATAGTAATCTGATGAAACATTTCCCCCGAGTTTGGTGGTGCACTGTATCATTTCTGGGCTGACAACAACACAGGGGAATGCGTATACGCTTCGCCAAGTGCCTGCAAGGCTTGTGGGTTCTTTTTGTTGTGGTGACATGGCACACGGTGATGAGTCTGTCATTTGGTTTGCTTCTCCGACATCCTTTGCTAGGAATGAAATCTTGAGGGACGGAAAGGTTTGAATCTTCTTTTGTACCAATTTAAGTCATAAATTAGCCCTGTAAAACTCATGGAGTTATTGTAATGGCTTTAAAAAAGATCTAGATTCAGCGAGTGCAGATAAAAATAGTGAGGATAGACAGCTCCCTTACAGGCAAAGCCCGTGGCTGAGCAGGAGAATCAGGCCATCGGCGAGCGTACATATAATTACCTCAGAGATCTTACGAATGGCTCTCTAGGTGGTAGAGTGGTTTGGTTTGTGGTGCCTTTTTTTTTTTAATCAACATGTTTCATTAAATGGAACAAATAACAAAGCATAATAATTAATTTGTTGTCTGGAAGTGGGTATTATCTGTTACACCTTGTCCCATTGCCCCACATACACAGCAGGAGGACGCAGAAACACTGTTTACTGGGACGAGTTAAAAACCAGAAATACGACTGTGTTTTCCTACACAACAGTCTCTGCAGGAGGCACAGAAACAACCCAGTGTTTTTAAATAACCAGGCCGCTCAATGACAGCTTTCGCAAGGATCTAAACCACTGCTCCCTTGGGTGTGCAATTACCAAAGTATTAATAACAAGCAAAACACATCTTTCACCAGCGGTGTAAGGTGCAGAGTGCTCGCTGCTTTCATTACCCTCAAAGAGAGCCGGGGATGTCTCCTCTGGATCTCTCCTGCTCTTCCTCATTCTACACCTGACACCCCGGATAATTACACCCAAGCCAGGAGCAGTGGCCTTCTAATACTCGTAAATGGGTATGTTATTACAGTAAGTTGCTGGTGTTTCATGCAGATTACTGTCTTTAGGCCTTCCATTGTACCAGGATGTGAACCACATCCTCTGCTTCTAAAACTCCCGTTCAAAGCTGCCCAACAAACCCAGGGCGGGGCACTCCTCCTCTGTGACCCCCCTCCAGTCAGCAAGCACTTCAGCCAGGGCTGAGCTGCAAACAGCGGCGTAAACGGGGCTATGACACCCCCCACAAGCAGGTGCCGGGTGCAGTGTTGTGGGTGATGGGGTCTGCGTGGGCAGATGTCCCAGCTGAAATCTCCGCCCGGAGAATAAACCAGCTTTGTGTCTAGCTGTGAAGGGACGAGGTATTCTTTACCCTATGGGTGCCTCTCCAGGTACCTTCATTCTTCTTCCTGGTGGTAAAGGGATTGGAGACACCATCAAACTTGATTAGGATGAAGTATAAAATGCAATTTTATGTCATCTGCCCTTCGAAGACACGCGTTTCTGACAGCGCTGAATTGAGTGCAAACACTAAAAGCGTTTGCCCCGCCACAGCTTTACACGGTCGGACCCTCCGAAACGGTCATTCTCCCGACGGACAAACGGGAAGCGTGATGTCCTTCTGGGTGTCTCAGCCCGAAGCCCAGGCCTGCTTCGGGGGCCAGAGCAGGGGGCCGCGGGGCGCTGCTGCTTGCCCCCTCCTGCCAGCGGTGCCCGGTTGTCGCTGAAGTCGGTCACAGTTTTCCCAACACCCTCATGCGCTGCAGATGGCTGTGCTTCTAAATACTGGCTGGCGTTACAGAGAGCAGCAGCAGATGGAATCAAATCATCTCCTCATGTGCAATTCAGCACGCCGACTATACGGCCCAAAACCTCGTGCACGGTGCTGCAGAACACCTTTTTGCCTGGA